AAAGTTTGAGGCTAGTCAGAATATGTTTCACTGATTTTAAAAATCTAGTCGAGAGGCAGGCTCCATTTTGTTTACATGACTTATCTTACCTTCATGTAAAATACTTTAATATCATTGGTCAATGACGCTTCAGCAAGTTTCCTTATCTTACCTCCATGTAAAATACTTTAATTTCATTTGTCAATGACATGTACAGTTTAACAAGTTTCCGTGACAACTGGAAAAAATATTACCCGCTGCCACGGTAACCGCCAAGATCTCCGCCGAGAAGCTGAAGCGCTAACAATCGTATGACGTCATAATATGACGCATGCAATGCCCGGAGTTCATCACTTGCTTGACAACGACATTAGAATCTATGTCGAAACGTCGCCTATACAGAATAAAGAAGTTGTATATCCATAAAAGTAGTCCTCATCCTACGGAGTTCGAAAGCCGTTCGATCAGCTGGTTTTGAATTTACAATGTACAGATTTATTTTACCGACTATCACTGCTTTATGTAAACTATTTTATACATTGAATCGTTTGCACACTCAACTTAAACATAAATAACAATTTTTATTGCAGTTTTAAGCTTGTCAGAATATGTTTAACTGATTTCAAAATTCCAGTCGAGAGGCAAACGCCATTTTGTTTACATGTCATATAGTCAGTGGCGATCTTCAAAATAAACTAAAATGATATTTTGTACATTTAACATGGCATTACCCCATAACATTAACATTAACCCTCGCCTACCGGCTCGGGCAACACTGCTACAAAGAGGCGTACATCGGACCGTATTACCCTCGAGAGAAGCATACAACTTATAATATAGCGAGCTTATCGATCTTCAAAATATAAAATGATATTTTGTACATTAACTTGGCGGTAAGATAAATACGTTGTAAGCTTCTCCCTCGGGTAATACGGTCTCATGTACGCCTCTTTGTAGCAGTGTTATCCCTCGCCTACCGGCTCGGGTGACACTGCTACAAAAAGGCGTACATCAGACCGTATTACCCTCGAGAGAAGCATACAACTTATAATGTTTTTCAGGTTGATAAACATTTGCATACTTGAGGTAATTCTGACGGATCTTGATTTTCTTCAGTTGTGGGATTTAACTACCATCAAATCATACTTGTTTTGTCCTTCATATACAGACAAACATACTGTCCACAAGGAATACACCCGACTAATCCGCTCGTGCCTTTTACCCTAATTACACCCTATGCCTTCACCGTGATGGACGTGTCAGCGCTGTGTTCGGAGTTGGTTAATGAAAACCCGTTGACGGTTTGATCCAAACTTGACTGTTTAATTAAAGGCATTGTGTAAGGATCACAAGTCAAGTGTCGGGCCAGCCCAAAACACAGACACAGTTCAAATGCCAACAACTTTGTCTGGATGAAGGAAGAATACAGATCTAAACAAAAGGTTACACCCAGGTTTAATTAGCATATTTTCGGTGAAGGGTGTGGTGTTTGAAACACTTTTCATTACTTTTACGAAATACAATGCAGTGTTTGAGTTTGTAGCATTACTGACGTGCCAACTGTGACTTTTCAAATTCAAGTCCACAATTTGTTTGCTGTTTTTTGTAGAAGTTGAAATGCAATTTGTTTACAACGCACACTCTGAAGACAATGTATGCTCCGAAGAGATTTGTAGCAAATGTTGAATCGAAGACCCCAAACACCATTGTATTTGTGAATACTATAGAAACATCCAGTTAAGCTGCAACAACGGCTGTTGTTTATAAACAATTACACGATACATTAATTCTGTATAAAAGATTTTTATACATATTCCAACCTTCATTTACAGTAAACAAAATCACAAGATGACAATGTAATCAGTCATTTTTCTATCCCCTAATGGAAGACATAGTTTGTAATTATGGAGGATAGGGAGGACGATGTTGTTCTTGTTTTTGGTATTGCTGCTGCTGCTGCTGCTGCTGTTGTTTGTTGTAGTTGTTGTTGTTGAAGTTGATGATGATGGTGGTGGTACATTTCGACTACTTGAAGTCTGAATCTGAAAGCATAAACGAAAACATGACGAACGTTTCAACGCTATGACTTCTTGCTATGATGCAGTGATATTAATACAAAATGTATTCCAAAATACAACATTGCCATGGCTTTGAGTTATGTCTCGCGTCACTGTACGGCCACATTATCGCAACTGTATGACGCAAGAGAGTAATACAAGAACTTTGTTCATTGGGCGCCTCTGATCCGTACGTGGTAGCATCAATAGAATATATAGAGGATATTTTGTTGATGTTGTCAAATAACATGTATATTTCATCGAGTGGTCTCACAAAGTTGATATGTTGGCGCAACCACGAGTGAACATATCAACTTTGTCAGACCACTCGATGAAATATACATGTTATTTGACAACATTAACAAAATATTCTATTCATTATATTTTGATCATTTTTATAAATGATCGAGACATCTTTAATCAGAAAGTAGTTCCTGGCAAAAGCGATATTCTACTCAGTGAAATAACATGTTATTCTACTCAGTAAAAATACCATTTTTATTTTCACCAATATTTACAGTATTTCACCGGTAAGAATATAATAAATAAATTTAGCTGCGAACTCTTCTAACGACCCATTTCCGAGGAATGCAAACATGGTAACATGTTGATTAACTTAGAAATCTAGGTTAATGTATTTTAAAATTTCATCTAACGGTTTATTGACAATATTCCTGATATTGATTACTCGATCAGCCTATTCATGCATGATATTTTGTGATATTTCTAAGGTATTTGACAATGGCGTACAATGGTCTTTATGAATATAATACGTCTTGTATTATTCGAGAGGTACCTGAAGAAGATTTGATTCTAATCTAAAGTGCCTCACAGAAAATTAGGTGTTTTCCTGTTGACATGACATCAAAAGAAAATAGATTCAGATTGTGCATCCGCTCAAATGAATTTCTTATTTGGATAGTATGTACGACAAGAAAGACAATTTGAAAAAAATTAGTCTTCATCAATCCAGCTTGAATATTTGCGTTTGTGTCAGAACTATAAGTTACGATAGCACCTGAACCTACTTGTTTCTGATTGATCTAGGAATAAATCTCTTAACAAAGCAGATAGTTTTGATTCACTCTAGATTGTAGCAACTATAGCATTGTTTTTCGGAAACAATAATTATGGCCACAAAAGACATAATAAAAGCAGATTGTGGCGTTGGTTATAGGTATACGATAATAATAGTGCAACTTTCTCCAAATATATGCAACCTGAAACTAACTGAAATTAAACTATATTAAACTAACTATATTGTCAAACTGTTAGCGCTGAAATGAGAAAATCTTATAAATTCATGTATCAAATATGTACCTTCTGTGCTTCCTGTTATGATCACCAGTATTTGAACAATATAGTATTTATAGATTAACTCCATAATTGTTGTTTCGCCTCGCAAGTAGATACATAGTATCGCTTAAATTTGGGGTAATGATCAATAGTTGCGCGTTTATACATGGACAAAATTCAGAATGACCAGTGAATTCATGACTCAGAATTAACTGGATAAACAATAGTATGACGCCATCATAAAGCTTTCTTCAAGAGAGTTTCAATTCCTTTTGATGGTTTCTGAAGAAGTTGAAAAGTTTTACGAATGTATTCCTCCTTCGTAAGAAGGTATTTTCGACGTAGATTATTTATTTCATGTATGCGGCTGAAATAATCTGTTACGCTGGTATTGCCTTGATGACGCGCTAAATCCACTGTATATGAAGGTTGAAATTGTATACATACACACAGTGTTCGTGTGTCACATGTTTGTCTGTTTTTATGAAAGGCATGCTACCTTGGTGTTACGTGTATATTTCAAAATAACAAGAAAAAAGAGAATTGAATCGAATTGTCAGTTTCGGTGCTTGACATATTTACATGTCATCCTACTAAGAGAACATGGTCGTCACTCGCTTACACAAGATTTTCTGTGGTACTGTCTCGGTTAACTACAGATCGTTGTGCTATACCTGGAATCATTTTGGGTGTACCGTAGGATAACATTCGCCCAGTTATTAACCGAAGGAAATAATTCACGCGTTTCAATGCTTCTGATGTAATCAATAAATATATAACAATTAACACGATTATCAAATATGCTATATTTTAAGACAACATATGTATCAAGTAGGGAATGTTAGCGGAATATGTATAGAATATGTATGTAATTTATGTTTTGTTGTTGTTGTTTAACGCCGCACTCAGCAATATTCAAGCTATATGGCGGCGGTCTATAACTAATCGAGTCAATCCAGTGATCAACAGCATGAGCATCGATCTACACGATGACACGTGTCAAGCAAGTCAGCGAGCCTGACCACCCGATCCCGTTACTCGCCTCTTACGACAATTATAGTTTTCGCAGTGATCTTGGTCTAATAAACCAGCACATCACATGTTTTTATGAAACATACAACACACCTCATGTGTATTTAAACCCACACCAAATGATAGATTAATCATAATAATTATATAATTTACAACTATATTTTGCATTTATTCCATGTGTGACTTGTCCTCTTCTGATTGACATTAATGGGTTCTATCAAGGACTGCATGTGTATTTCTTAACAACATTCAGGAAACCTTTGACATTTGTTCTCATGCGCTCAAAAACTATGCCTACCCTTGAACGTTCAAGAACAGTACGACTAACATAATGCAAGTACATTGTACTTTGTTAAGATTAGAATTTCAATGGTCACAATAATTCATTACTGCGATAATATTTAAATTTAGGATTTTATGTCCAGCACATAAGAAACATAAGACACATTCATTAAAAACAGCAGCATAACAAATAGATGAAAGTAGGAAGTACGCTTCGACGTGCAGGCTTGCCTGCTGACGTGTGTCATTCGCTCGCATTATCACCTGCCAGGCACCGCGCGTGACAAACACGCACGACGCACCGTTTCATTGGAGCAATCAGAGGCGTCCAATTGACTATAAATGCCCGTGAGCGATCTCACTTGTCAAAACAGACATCATCCATGCACAGTGAACATCTGATCACTCACGAGATCCTATCTTGATAATTGTGCAAACATTTGACTGCTTATTTCTGGACCGAATCATCCCCACCATGATCAACTTCAGCATAGACTTCATCACTGGCCAAAATGCAACAGGCCGCAAGGAAGACAATTCCTTCAGCGAGGAGGAAGTCCACAGTCCGCAGAACGGCGTCCCATCCCCTCTCTCCAACGACGACGGAGCGGCCCAATGTTCCAGCTCTACCCTCGGCAAGGATACGGCTGTTGGTCCGACAGCAAGAGACCGTCGACTGGGAGTCAAACCAACACATTCCTACATCGCTCTTATCTCCATGGCGATCCTCAGCACTGAAGGTAAGAAGATGTTGCTGAGTGACATCTACAGCTACATCATGGATAACTTTCCCTATTATAACAACAGGGACAAGGCGTGGAGGAACAGCATCAGGCACAACCTGTCCCTAAACGAGTGTTTCGTCAAGAGTGGCCGCGCCGACAACGGTAAAGGCAACTACTGGTCTATACATACAGCATGTATCGACGACTTCTCCCGCGGTGACTTCAGACGCCGTCAAGCTCGGCGCCGTGCCAGAAAGAATAGTCTGAGCCGGGATACATGCGTTAGTAACCTCCCCCTTAGCTACAGATACAACCTCGGCTACGTCCCAATGACCCCCACTACTGTTGGAACACCCACCTACGGGCCGTGCTACAGCCCTCCGTCCCCCGTGTATGCCACCCAGACAAGCTTTTACTATCCTCCTGCATCTGTCGGGGTCACTCAGGGATTGTACGCACCTTACCAGCCACAGCCCTCTGTCTACAGCACACCCGCCCCCACCCCGGGCTTGCCGTGTCCGCATCATGGGGGTGCGACTTTTACAGAAGCAAAGACCTCACACACAGCCCAGAACCTTACACGGAGTGAATGACATGCCGCTTAGTCTCAGTCGGACTATGAACAATTATACCGGTTTATCCCGAGACTCGGTTGAACAGTGATTGCGGTTATAATCTACCCTACGCGAGCGTTACCGATAAAGACGATGAAGTAAAAGTTGCATAGAGTAACGTGAGAAAGAAAATCAATGTCCAGGGTATCATTCTTACATTATAGTGCATGTGTTGTCAGAACGGTGAGTGTGTAATATCGCTTTGTTTTATAGTTATATTGTATTTAGTATTTATATTGTTACCTCATTATTGAATATTTTTATTACAAAGAATGAAGTGTCTTTGTCAAAATACAGCATGTAAATAAAACATTGGAGGAAAAGAATCTGTCACCTTGTCTTTTCATGTTTCAAGATTTATGTCTATCGTTTTAAAAGCAGCTTACATCTCATTGGTAGCACTTGATTGTATCTCGCCACACTGATGTGCACAGTCAGTAGTGGAACGTCCTTGACGTAGTAATGAGTTAATGACTTTATCATTCTTAAGGACAGAAATAACCAGATATATAGAAAATATAAACCCTCGTCACTGTCCTAAGATAAGTGTTATAATTGGTCTTCAGCAGCACATGCTTGTCGTATCCAAATTGCGTAGATCGATGTTCATGGTGTTGATCACTGGATTGTCTTGTCCAGACTCGATTATTTATAGACCGCCGCCATATAGCTGGAATATTGCTGAGTTTGGCGTTAAACAGCAACCAAACCATCGCCACTCTTCTACCCAGAGTCATATGCGGCCAACATGGTACCTCTGCCACAGGCAGTCTCCATGTGACTATTTGTCACATCTTACAGTCAGTTTATGATATTGTATTTCATCCGTTTCATTTTCGACGAGTCTACACATATAAACAACCTACACCGGTTTAAATGGTGTAGCCGTCTTCCATTGAGAAATATCCAACAGCGTGAAGAACTATTTCCATTTGCGTAGTTATCTTTAGTTTTCAGTGGTTGTAGGGCTCTTCGTCCCCTCTTCAAAGCACCACGGAGAGCTGCCGATACGACCAAACAGATAAATAAATACGGATTGTGTTGCACTTCAATCGTATAACATCTGGAAGTCAAACAAAACAATATGAAATGCGAAGCGAATGGCAAAGTCCCGTCAAATTTACATGTGGCATTGATTGGGTCAGTTCATTATATCGTAAGGGGTGTTTTTCAATTCCCAGTCTGCCAACAGTAAAATTATATAAATTGACCATAACCAATGTAGCTATTGCTCAAATTCTATAGAAACAACATCCCACCTCATTTATGATTGTAGGAAGGTTACCCATATATGGCAGAAACTCCAAGATTGGCTAAATGATAAACTGGATTAATTTTCGATTTCCCAAGACAATAAATTCTTCTTGGATTCCGTCGTAAACATAACGACCCAAATAATGCATTCCTCATCCTTTCCAAAACTGTTATTTTTAATCGTAGAAATTCCGAAAATATGCCGACATTTCAGTTTATGTTGAAAAAACTTACTCAATATTACAATCTAACCACATATGCAGCTATGTTAAGCTCCATGTTGCCTTGACATGTTCTCTTTCTAAGGTATTTGAAAAATGTGTATTTAAGCATGTTTATAATTGTTTCTTGGATAATGATATCACAACCACCTCACAATCGGGATTCAAACTCGGAGATTCAACTGTTTATCAGTTAACTGAATTATACCATGTGATTTCCAAAGCCTTGGATGATGGAAAGGAAGTTCGTGCTATATTCTGTGATATTAGCAAAGCGTTTGATCGTGTTTGGCACGACGGTTTGCTAGTAAAATTAAAGTCAACAGGCATAAGCGGTAATCTTTTGGATTGGTTTGGAAGCTACCTTAGTAATAGGAAACAAGCTTTAGTATTTAATGGGTACATGTCAAATTATAGACCTGTTCTAACCGGAGTTCCTCAGGGCTCAGTTTTAGGACCTCTGTTATTCCTCGTTTATATCAATGACTTGACTCACGGGATAACGAGTAATATTAAACTTTTTGCTGATGATTCTTCCTTATATGTAATTATTGAAGACCCTGAATTCTCAACCACTATACTGAATAGTAACTTAGAACGTATAACAGACTGGGCTGATAAATGGCAAGTGAAATTTAGTCCTACCAAAACGGAAGCCATGCTATTTCCGACAAAAATAATTCTAGTCCTAAATTACCTTTTCGAATGAATGATGTTCTTATACCTGAAGTAAGTGATCATAAACACCTAGGGCTGGTTTTTCAGGAAGATGAAAAATGGCACAAACATATTGATTATCTTGTCCGTAAAGTGAGCCAACTAATTAGTCTAAAATACAGGTTAAATCGAAGAACGCTTGAAATTACATGTATGTACAAATCTTTTATCTTACTCATATTTGACTACTGCGATAACATTTGGGATAATTGTAACAAAGAACAAGTAAAAATGCTAGAAAACCTACACTTGGATGCTCTTCGAACAATATGTGGAGCAGTACCAGGAACCAGTCACTAAAAGCTTTACAGGGAAACGGGGTTTTGCTCACTGTCTGACAGACGACATTACCATAAATTATGTATATATTATAAAATGGTCAATGGGCTGACTCCTAAATACCTATCTTTATGGGTACCATCTGGTATCTCCAGCAAAACAGATACAACCTTCGTAACTCCAACGACTTTCAGACATATGCAGGGCGCTTATCCCAGTATAACCGATCTTTCTTGCCTTCTGTTGTTCAAGTTTGGAATGCACTTGATATCAATATTAGAAATGTAGATTCCTTATCTAGGTTTAAGCAATTGATTTCTTCAGATTTTACATACATTGCTAGTTACGGCCAGCGACAATACCAAGTGATTCTATCCAAAATTAGGCTAGGTTGTAGTGATTTAAAAGCACACTTATTTGACAGATTCCTGATTGATGATCCCACTTGTTCATGTGGCCATAACAGAGAAGATGCTATCCATTTCTTTCTGTCATGTCCCCGCTGTGCCCAGTTTAGACTTGATAAATACTTTGTCGTTAACCACCTCAGCATACATACTATACTTCACGGCAATTACGATTCATCTCCTTAGGCAATGAAATTATTATAAAATCGGTTCAAAATTACATAACTGAAACTAACCGCTTTACGGAATTCGAGTAACAATCTAAGAATATACAATGCACTTGGTATCTTGTTCTTTATTTTATTCATTTATTCTATGTTGTTTTGATTGTGATTCCTTCATTAATGTCCTAATGTCTGCTCCATAGAATCATGTCAAGATATAATGAACTATATGCGGAGAAGCATTGTCATAGGCCTTATGGCCTGTTTGCTAATCCTATTTCCATTTTGTTATATCGTGGAATATGAAAAATGTAAACATTAATGGAAATATAATATTGTTTAAATCATGTTAAGCTCCAGAACCGACGCTTTTTACAAATTCTTGTCCGCATGTCACTACCTATGTGTCCTATGTTTACTAGCGGATGTATCTGGTGGGCAAGCTTTCTATATAAGGCGCCAGGCTAGTGATCCAGCCAGCTTGAGGTGCCGGGATCGAGCCCACCTGTGACCGGGTGTAAAAACCTTGGAGTCAACTTTGTGTGCAGACTCTTTCAGGGTCTTACTGTACAGTACACAACCCTGTGCACTTAAAAGAACCCACGAATCCGTAAATGACCAGATGGTGGCCACATGAATACCCGTAAACACCTTGTTGCGGGTACAGCAACGTGCAATAAAACTTGGACAAAGTACTGTGACTATGAGTAACAGTCCACCCAGCTGTGAATGGGTACCTCGTAAGGATGGGAAAGCCGCAATAACTTGATGCGCCTAGTGGCTGCAAGAGTTGTGTGATTCCCAGGGAGTTGAGATTGATAATACTATGTGCTGTTGAGATTGTCATCCAATGATCTATTCGTAACTACTCGCCCCTTTCCGTAACCTGAGAGAAGACCCCTCTCGTAGCCATGTCCGGGAGAAAAATACCCCAAGCCAATCAGAATGCGCGTATGTAGAGAAGAAATTGGGTCAAAAAAGTTATTTGAAATAATTTTCATTTCGGCTTGCATAATTTCCCCCAGACACTTCAAGTATATTTTAATTATTGCATAGTCCTCCTGGGTTTCCTGAATTTTTATAACCAGGATATATTAACATTATGGCGTAGGAAAGTATTTAAGCATGTTAAACATACCCTTTGAGGTAATTTCCGTTGTGGGGATGCCCACTCTCCTACCCAGAGTTCCATGCGGCCAGCCAGCATAGTACCTCTGCCACAGGACAGAAAGATGTGACGATTCGACACATCTTGCACCGTCCATTCAATATAATGTACATATTTATTAACTCTTTTATTTTTGACGAGTCTACACATCTAATTAAACATCTTTGATAAAATGGTTTAGTTTTGCTGAGAAAATATCCTAAAGCATGTAACACTATTTCGATTTGCATAGCGATCCTTTGTTTACATAGGTTGTACGGCTCCACGTGCTGTCATCGAAGCCGACGGAGAGCAAACGATGCAGCCAGTTTGATATCTAAATATGTACTGTCATAAACCTTACTGTCGCAGTTATGGAAGAATATATATGTAACAATGTAAAACATTGTGAAGAGCGCGCCGAAAAGATTGCATAAGGCCAGTCTCTTCTTATTGTGAATATGTGCGCTTGTTTACAAACAAGAGAAAAGTCCAGTCACGTGATATGCAAATTAGCCTGTGGCAGTGATGTTATGCTTAGTCATCACTGCGCCGGAGTGTGGGGGATGCCATGTTTGTTTTCCAAGTAAACTAGAGTGACATACCCTTGAAAATTCATGTATTTAAAATAATTCAGAGAATTATTTATTCCGAACGTAAACCGTCATCAAACTGTTATCATTTGTATTTTTCTGGTAACGTTCGTCTTAACGTAGGGGGCAGACACATCAATAGAACAGCGCGCCAGTTAGCCCTGTGCGAGGATTCTTAATTTAGGTCACCGACACCG